GAGTTGGAGTCTCACTCTGTCACCTAGACTGGAGTGCAGTGGCCGCTCCCGGCCACCGCAGCCTCGACCTGCTGGGCTCCGGTGATCCTTCCGCCTCAGCCTTCCAAGTAGCCGGAACTACAGGCATGCGCTACCAAGCCCGGCTGATTTTTTGATTTATTGTAGAGATGAGGTCTTGCTGCCCAGGCGGGTCTCGAACCCACGGGCTCAGGCAATCCACTCACCTCAGCCTCCCAAAGGCGTGGGATTACAGGCTGAGCCACCGAGCCCGGCTATTAGTTTTCTTTTAAGTAAAACTGGTATTCCAAAAAGTAGGAGAACAGTTCAGCTAACAACTCAACCACCCACACAAGTGCTTTATGCATTTTGATAACCATCATACTTATTAGAAGAGTTTGTGGGGTGTTTTCCATTTCATCACACAGAATATTAAAAAGACATGCACTCAAGGGTCAAACTTCAACAAAATCAGTACATTTTACTGTTTCATCATCTTCAAAGAAACTGGCTTTTTTTCTGTGTGTGTATGGTAGTGACAAATACAGTAACTACGAATGTGGTTTGGTGCCAATGCCTTAATGCATGGTATCACACAAGTAATTTTCCCACATTGCTTTCACAGACAGTACAAACGTAACACACTGGGGGGGAAAATAAAATAATGCTGAAGCATACCATGAAAATAGTTTTATCTTCACAGATCCCAAGAAGGGGCTTGGGGACCACCAAAGGACCATAGACCACACTTGGACACATGTTGCAACTATAGTATCTTTTACATAAGTTTCCTGCTCTGTCTGAATGTTAGGTTGTTCTACAAGTTATTAAACAACTGCAAAACCACTTCCTAAAATAAAGTATTAAACAACTTCAAAAACACTTGCTAAAATATTAACTTCAAAAACACTTCCCAAAAAAGATAAACACATTATATGTAAATTTTTAAAATTTTAATGTTTCCTAAACTTCAACACTGTAAAATGTTTGCTGTTAAAGACAAAATAACAAATACCAAACTAATACTTTAACACTTAAGCATTTTTCTTATATTCTAAAGTAAATATTTGAAGTACTATTTAACTAAAAACAATCTTTATTAAGAGTTTTAACATCTGTTCCAGTCTTTTCTTTAGTCATTTAGTTCTCTTTAAAAACTACCTCCACATGAATTGTAAAATTTGTCCCTTCATAAAGCTATATTATCACTCAGTGTCATATGATACATTTTTTTTAAGTACAATGCTCAATACCTTCTCCCTGAAGAGGTTTTCCAAATGTGAAGTCAGACCACTTATTTCCTTGTCTTTCTCTGCCAACTGAAACTGAAAAAACAAAGAAATTATCATTAATATATTTGTTATCTACTCTCTTTACACTTTGAGATCCAGTTTATATTATCTTATGAAAATAATTCCTATTACCAAATCTATATTTTTTCCTCTGTTCTTATTCTTTGACTCCTCTGAATTATTTGTCATTATGGACCAACTTCCCTTATTCTTAAAACTATTCCCTTGGTTTAAGCAAAATTGCATCAATATTGTCATCCTTCCATGCCCATTTTTTGTGTGTATGTTTTTTCTTCCCAATCACAAATATTGGTATTCTTCCAAGCTGCTCTTTGGCTTCTTTCCTCTATATTCTCTCTGAAAACTCACTTTCTTCCATACCTTCAACTATCATCCCCATGGAAATAAAGCACAAATATTAACTCATGTACCACTTTCCCTTTCCCAAGTTCCAAATCCGTCTTAACGCTTTCCATTTGCTTAGAATATTTCTGCTTCCTTTTCCTAGTGCTACTTCTCCTCCCCTCCAATTTGGCCTTTTCAAAGGTCTAGCTTCTCTATGTCTCCCTCTAAATATCTGACTGGAAACAACGTAAGGTAGTTAAACTTATCATTCATGTGGAGCTTTATCACATTTCCTTCTCTGGTTGGTGTTGGTCTGTGTCAAACAGTACAAGATAGGGCAAAAGGCACTAATAAAAAGCCAAACATATTTACCAGCTACATAATCTTAAATATGTAAAAATAATCTCAATGCTCACTTTTACCATTAATGGAGTAAGAATATTATCTGTTTAGCCTCCTGCGGTTTGACAGATGATTGTTTAGGGTGGGAAATGTGAAAGTTTTGTACATACCACCATTATACTTCTAGCAACCCCTACTAGACTATAAACTCCTTAAGTATAGCACTGTATCTTATATGATCATCCACATAATAGCTAACATAGTGCTTTATGTGTATAACAGTCTTCAATATATATCTATTAATCATTTTTCTAGTCAATATGCAAACCAATTTATCATATAGATTGATTATTCACATTGGTAAATAATAAAGGAAGTTGTCAGCTATTGAAAACAACAGCCACAGGGATCTCAAAAACAATAATAAGCTTATATATCTTAGTCTATAATGTGCTACTCTACAGCCACCACAGGGAACCCTAAAGTAATTCTAATTTAAAAATTAGATTATAGGTACAATTAGCTATGATATAGCAAATTTAAATTATTTAAAGCCTCCTGGTCTTCAGTCACCAAAAAAATGTAAATTATATATGCATATATATCTTAAAATATATCAAATTACACTTTATTCCTTGGAAGGAAAATGTATTTCTACTTATTAGCTAGACAGCCTATTAATTTTTTTTCTCTAACATTCCTACAGATGTCATTTATAATTTGGGCTTGTCTGTTATCTAAGGTTATTGTCATAAAAATAATTTTCATTAAGATTATATCACTTGCTTTGCATTATTTCATTTAGGATCACAGTCATATTTTGGAGGATAAATTTTAAAATTCTAGCAAAATTTTAAAAAGTTAGTGGTGGACATGTTTTCTTAAGCTTTGGCTCCCTCCCCTCCCTTGGGGAGGTGAATCCCCTTTTTCTCTCTCTCTCTCTCCCTCTCTCTCTCTCTCTCTCTCTCTCCCCTAAAAATTTACTTTCTTAAAAAACTATATTTTCTAATCCAAAAAACAAAATTAGTGATGATACATTATTATACTCCAAAAAGATGTCAAGACCCTAAAATAATGTTACATACACATTCATGTGTGTTTCAATATGAACAGGAGGATAATAAAATTATCGCTTTTCATCTTTCAAATAAGCACAACTGGCCAGGCACAGTGACTCATGCCTATAATCCCAGTACTTTAGGAGGCCAGCAAGAGTTCAAGACTAGCCCGAGTAACATAACAAGATTCTGTCTCTATAAAAAAATTACAAAAAATTAGCTGGATGTGGTAGCACATGCCTGCAGTACCAGCTACTTGGGAGTCTGAAGCAGGAGGATTACTTGAGCCCAGAAGCTCAAGGCTGTAGTGAGCTACGATTGTGACAATGCACTCCAGCTTTGGCAACAGAGCAAGAGCCTGTATTTTCTTTCTTTTTTTTTCTGAGAAAGCAGGATTTATTAAGAGGACAGAAAAGCTCCCACAATGGGAGGAGACCCGAAGGGGTTGCCCTAGAGCCTCTTAAAAAATTAAAAATATAAAAGTAAAAAGCAGACTTTTAAAAAGCACAATTAAAAAATAATTTTAATAGCCATGTGAATCTACAGATTACCATTTTCTCAATTCTTAGTTAATGAACCATATTCACATAATTAAATATATAGTACATTTTTATGTATAGAAAAAAACTATCTCAATTATCCATATTAAAAATGTACATTTGGCTGGGCACAGTGGCTCATTCCTATAATACCAGCACTTTGGGAGGCCAAGGTGAGAGGACAGCTTGAGGTCAGGAGTTCAAGACCAGCCTGGGCAACACAAGACTTCATTTCTAAAAAAAAAAAATAAACTGAGCATGGTGGTATGCACCTGTAGTCTCAGCTCCTCGGGAGGCTGAAATGGAAGGATCCCCTGACCCTAGGAAGTTGAGGCTATGGTGAGCCTGATGGTGCAAATGCACTCCAACCTGGGTAACAGAGTAAGACCCCCCAACTCAAAAAGAGGAGAAGGAGAGAGGAAAGGGAGGAGGAGGGGGAGGGAGAAAAGGTACATTCAATTCATCAAAATTATAGATAACATTTTAAAAGGTCATGCCTCAAGTTTACATACAATGAGTACAAAACTTACTTTATATTTGTCTTCTACTTCAGCTAGCTCAAGTTTTACATTTTCTGCAATTTTTACTTGTTCTTTCCATTTTAGCTCCATTTTTGCAAGTTCATCAGCATATTTATTACATTTTGTTTTCTCATCCTAAATGAAATTAGTATAATTACCAGAAGATTTTAAAGCTTTGTAGAGCAAACATCTACATAAACATACTTTAGGTATCAGCTGAATGTTTATTATAATACTGTTGTAACAATATAAAAACTAAAATAACCAAATGTCTATCAGAAGATGACTGGATAAATCATTTTATATCCAAATAATGAAACAGTATATATCTATTTTTTTTTTAAATAAAATAGAGTAAAAATGTCAAGATACACTAATTTAAAATAGCAAGTTGCAAAAGTGGAATATATAATCTCATTTATAAGTTGTTTTACAAAATTATAATATGTCTATGTCAGTGTTATACAGAAAAATATAAATCTAACTATTAATAGCTCTTATCTCTGAAGATAAAGGTAATTTTTAACATCTCTGTTCTTTATTTTTGTAATGTTGTAACATTTTACAAAAAAGTATGTATGTATTACTTTTGCAAAGGGAGGAAATAGGGTCAAATATTTATATGTTGTTTCCAGGCATGAATAAATAAAATCCTGAGATTTCCTGATCAAGACAATTTCTAGGTAGACTTCTTACATATCATTCTTCTCTACAACCCATAAAGAAAAAGTTATAAATAATGACAAAAAGGTAAACAGGCCAATTTCATTTAGAACATTTTTGTTCAAGATATAAACTTAAAAATATTCTTTGCGCATTCAACAGAGAAAAAAGTATTTTAAACAAAGAATGCTATGTCAATTGACTACATTCCATACCTCACACCAAATGCAAAAATTAACTCAAAATGATTCATAGGCCTAAATATAAAACCTGACTATACTTCTAGAACACAACACAGAAGAAAATCTATCTCCCTAGAGTAAGCAAATCTTTCTTAGAACACAAAAAGCAAAAATCACAAAATAATAAATTGATAGACTATATCAAAATTAAAATTTGCTTTTCATAAAAACATCATTAAAGCAACAAAAAGGCAAGCTACAGTCTGAAAATATTCACCACACGTATATAAGACAAAGGACTAGTATCCAGAATAAAAACACAACTCTTGCTAATTGATGCACATAGCAAAAAAGAAAAAAAATAAAAAACACACAACCCAATTTTTTAAACGGCAAAAGATTTGATCAGTCACCAAAAACAGATAAACAGCCAGTAAGTGTAACAAAAGATGCTCAACATCAAGTTATTAGAGAAATGCAAGTTAAAATCACAATGAGATCACCACACATTCATTAGACTTGCTATCTGAAATGGAACAAACACCTTGCAAAACACTTTCGTAATTTCTTACAGAGTTATACATTCACCTATTATATTATTACCTAGACACCTCACTCCTAGATATTTATACAAGAGAAACAAAAAAGTCATGTCCATAAAAGACTTGTATACCAATGTTCATAGTAGCTTTATTTGTAATAGCAAAAAACAACTCTAAATGCCCATTACTGATAATTGAATAAATTATGATATATCCATACAATGGGTTACAACATCACCAACAAAAAGGAATAAACAATAAGCAACAATATGAATAATTCTCAAAAAATAATTATGCTGAAAGAAGGCAGGAGATACTATATGATTCTATTTTATAAAATTGTACAAAAAGTAGGCTCATTAATAGTGACAGAAAGCAGACCAATGGTTTCCTGGAGAGGTGACTAGAAGAGATGTGTTGCAAATGGGTACCAAAAAATAACTGGGGGGTGATGAAAACATTCATTACCTTGACATTATGGTGACAGTTTTAAAACCATATATGTCAAAACATCCAACTGCACACTTCAAATATGTGCAGTTCACTGGATATAACTATACCTCTATACAGTTTTGAAAAAAATCCTATCTTCCTTTCAATAATATTGCTATATATTAAAATTTTTTAAATTCATCCATAATTGTCTTAACCTTAAAGAATATGTAGTTTAGTCCCTTATAAACAACTGCTTTGAACTCAAAGGTAAAACTGTCCTAATCTTAACACAAGGATTCTCTCAAGCCAAAAAAAAAAAAGTTTAAAGTTTGATGAAAGATCTTACTATTCACAGGTAACAAACTATTTTATATTAATAACTATAGTAACAGTGAGCTAATGTATGAACTACATTCTATAGCTAAAAAACACCCCACCCCTCCCCACATGTACACAAAAATACACACCAAAAAAACCATTTGATTAAACAAACAAAAATTGCATACCCAAACACAAAATAGTTTTTCCTCTCTACTCCAAATCAGGTATAAATGAGAAGCATCCTCTCATGTCCTTTAAATATTCCACTAATGAATACTACCAAGAACGCTGCAAAACTGAAAAGTCTACATAATGTTGTTCTAAATAATAAAAACAAATAACATCGTAAGAGACAAAAACTCATTTTGTTAATATTCCCATTTTCTTTTGTGCAAATCTGGTCATTTTAAGATGTGGTAAAACCCTTTGGTATTATTACAGTAAATTGAAAAAGAGGACTTCACTTTTTTTTTTTTGAGGACTTCACTTTCATAAAGTTCAAATATTTCTCATGAATCTTTATAATAAGACAGAAAATAATTTCCAACCTCAATTAACTACATGCCTATTACTCAAACAAGAATATTTTATTAGATGAATAGAAAATTACGACCTTAGAAATCACGATTTTATACACCAGGCCTTATGAACTGGTACACAAAACACCCCCTTCATCATCCCAAAACCAAAGGTGAAACTAAGTAACAGTACACATGGGATGGAAAAGAGATCCCAGAATATCAATCAATCAAAACAATAAAGGTAAGCTAAGTCATTTACATTTGATAAGTCTCTTTCACTTACATGAGAGTTAACTTACCTGTAAAAGTTGTTTACATTTATTATACTTTTCTGTTTTGTCGGCAATTTCTTTGGTCATTTCACAGATTTGCCCCTTTGTTACCATTTCAAAATTTGTCTCTGCTATAACAAGGCAGAAAATAAAATTGTTACAAAGTATTTTGCCCTTTATATTATCTTCCTGTTCAAAACAGTTTAATGGTCAGTATACTGTGAAATGTAATAAACAGAATGCTGAAGAAAGGGAATTTATTCATACTCTAACTAAAGAAGGATATATAAACTCTAGGTGATAATTTTTAAATGTCAGTTTCCAGAATCAAATTCACATTCATAAATAATATTCTTTGATTTTCTCACTTTGCTAAAAATAATTCCAAACTGACACAAAAATTGTTCTCCTTATATAACTAAACAGGGTAAGTAGGAAAACCATTCATTCATTCATTCATTTATTGAGCCAGGGTCTTGCTATGTTGCCTGGGCTGACCTCCAAGAACACATGGGCTCAAATGATCCTTTCACCTCAGCTTTCTGAGTAGCTGCAATTGCATTGTGCCTGGCTGAGAATATATTTTAAATCATTCTTCCAGTCCTTTGCTATCATCCAGTTTAAGCAAATACTTTCTAACACCATTTTAGGTACTATGGAGGATATAAAGAAATGGAAAGCTGGATTCTGACCTACAGAGGATGAACTGAATTAAATATTTAACAGCCTAAGATATTTGCATTTAAAAAGACTAAAACATCAATTACCCCACACAGTGAACAAGAAAATACACTTTCTCATGTGTTTAATTTTATTATTGTCAAATTTGTATAAAAGTAGAAAAAAATTAGACAAATAAAGCCTAGAATTAATTCAAATTTTCATAGTATTCTTATATTCAAGATGTCTCTCTAATCTGTTCTGTAAGTTAATTAATAAATAAAAATTTAACTCATCAACCAACACACACCAAGAGAAATGCTCTATTGATCCAAAGCAGCAAAAAAAATTTTTTAAATTGTGAAACATGAAAATGAGATTTTTTCCACTACAGAATTATAAAATTAAAATGCCACAAATAAAATGCTTTAAAATTCCATAAGTTTAATGAAATATAAAAATTCAATTATTGGCTTTTGTCCTATATAGCCCAAATGAGCACTCACAAGCACCAGCTCATTTTAACACATGTGAATATCTCAAGATTACTAGTTACACTCACATTTTGTATATTCATTATACAAATGACTCTATTTAAATATTTATATCCCTATTTCCCCTTTGCCTCAATTCCCTAACTCATAACAAAGAGTTTTAAAAGCACCCTGAAATTCCTAAACATGGAAGAAGGCAGTATAAATAAGAATAAATACTTTTTAAGCCATGATATCCTACACAAAAAGTCTGTAAGATTTTTACCTGCAGAAGGTGATGACTTTACATCTATAGTAGAGGAAGACGTGGTTGGGTCTGTGTTTATTGAAGCATCATTCACTTTCTGATTCCCAATCTTCTTTGTGGAGACACTATTATTATTAGTCTATTCAAAATGTTAACAATAAGTTGTTAAAGGAGTCAATCAATGAATTAGTCATATGTCCTTATTGCAGTTTCTATGTAAATAATATTTTTACATATTCTTTAAGAAAGTCAGAAAAGTCTACAAAGCTTCTCATCTTAAAAGCCAACAGAGACTAAAGTTACATCATTTTTCTAACTGACCTAAATGTTGCATAAGAGAAATATTTTATTTAGCTTTTTCTTATAAAATCATCAAAATAACACCCAAACTAGTCTAGTCACTCACAGAAAGCTCCCAAGTTTTGGCCCCAAACCAAAATGTATACTCATGGATCTGACTTAAAGTATCATGTTTCACAAAAGCCCTCCTACTTTACTACATGCATTCCTTGCTTGTCTCCTTTCAGATTTGAAAAAGTAAGACCAAGAAAACATCATCTGTATCACACAGAATAAGAGAACTTTCAATTTCAAGTGTTAAATACGTTTCTTCTACATTTCCAAGTTCCTTACACAGCAAGCCCTGTATTTATGTACAATTTATGGGCCCACATTAAAACATACATGCCTCAAAATAAAAACATTTTTATTTGTTTTACTACAAATCTGCCTACCTACTCTCAAGTGGAATACAAAACAATTAGCTAACACTCTTTAACTCTTCCTAATCTAGAGGATTTGAGTAGGATGAACTTAACAAAGACAACTGAGAAACCATCTAAGACCCTAGGGATGATCAATGGTAAACTCCAATGAGTACAGGTACTGTCATAAGAGTCAGTAATAGGTATTGAGTTTTAAGTGACAAAGATATTCATCAAAAACTTAGAGGGAAATGTTCTAGAAAAGAGGGCTCTCTCTTTTTTCCCCTTTGCTACTGCCCTTGCTTCCTTTGTTGGCTGCCCAAAACATAAGAATTCCAGACTTTATTTTATTTATTTTTATTTTTTGAGTCCGAGTCTCATTCTGTCACCCAGGCTGAAGTGCAGTGGCATGCTCACGGCTACCGCAGCCTCAACCTGCTGGGCTCAGGCAATCCTTCCCCCTCAGCCTTCCAAGTAGCTGGAACTACAGATGTGCACCATCATGCACTGCTAATTTTTTTATTTATTGTAGAGGCGAGGTCTCACCAAGTTGTCCAGACTGGTCTCGAACCCCTAGGTTCAGACAATCCTCTCGCCTCTACCTCCCAAAGTGCTGGGATTACAGGCATGAGTCACCATGCCCAGCTTGGACTTTTTTTAAAGAAGAGTTACCATTACAATAATTAAGCCAAAAACTTGATGTCAAGCAGAAATAAATTATATTTAAAATATTAAAAATCTGACTTGCAAACAAAAATCCCAATTAAATATTTCACTATGTATGAATTCAATGATACTTACTGACTGATCTGAAAGTTTGTTTATTTGCTTTTGTAGCCTTTGGCATTCCTTAAATTTTTCTTTATAATGATCTGCAGCCATCTGAAGACGAAGTTTCAGATCTTCAACTTCTCTTCTCAGTTCGTGTTCTAGTGTATCATTCTTGTTCTAAGAGAGAAGCAAACACTCTAAGAACAAAACAAAAATCTGATACTTCCTAAGGTAATACTAGATCCCAAATTCATTTTACTTTTTCCTTTGTTTAGGGGTTTGGTTACAGAGCAATTAGACCTGAGCAATTAGACCTTCTAATAAATCCAACTTTATATTCTTAGAAGTAAAGTTCATTAAAAAAAAAAAAACTAGAGAAAAATAATCCAACTTCTGAGGAGCAATTAATACTCTCTTAAGCAACCACAATACCACTTTATACAGCTAGTAAATAAGAGATTCCAAACAAAGCAATATATAACTGACATCAATATATTTCAATAATTGAGTGGCTTTTGTAACCACTAGGAATTTTGCTTATAGAAGTTTTTCTTAAAGCACACATCAATTGCAATCCAAGAAGTTACAATGAACAATAGGAATGGACACTTAAAACTCTCTGGTCAGGAATCTGATTTATTTTAACACAATTTGCTCTTTCATAAGCTTATAGTGATTTTTTTTTTTTTAATCAGCATGGAAATTCAAAATTAACTTGATTTACCTGATCTTTTTTCATAGTATTTAGTTTAAGTTCGGCCACTGCTTCAGCTAACTGTTTTTTTACTTTCTCGTTTTCCAAACGTGCAGTATGTAGATCTGCCATCGTTCTGTCTCGCACATTGACAGCGTCACTAAGTTCTTTAGCCAGAAAGACAACTTCTTGCCGAGTTGCCTGAACTTGTTCCTCTGCTTTACGAAGTTGCTCCTTTAAAAGGAGTGTATCTTCCTGAAGAAAGCAGATACATATATTTAGAATTAGACCATTCAAGTAAAAAACAGAAACAATTTGTACATGTTATTTCAACTGAGCAAAAATTTTAAATACTGCTTTTCTACTCATGGCCTACAGTACATGTCTATAAAAAACTTAAGGTATGATTTTGCTTTAGATTCCTCACATCACATCCCTAGGTATGGGGCAGCACTGCTACTACTGAATATATGAGGAATCTAAAGTACAGGGAGTCAAGAAACACGCCTGTGCTTAAAGACCTGGCTAAACTCAGGTTCAAATAAAATATCCCATCCCACGGAATCTCTGCAGCTGGAACTAATGAGACTTATTTTTTTATGATCACCAGTGAAAATAACTTCAAAACTTTCTTTGTAACACCAAAAATTTTGATTAAAAGATATTTCCTACTTTCTAACCTAAAAGACATACAATATAACATTAATCTACCACGCTATATCATTATGAAAAACAGAACAGACTTAGACCTTCATTCTAAAAGTAAAATATTGATATACAAATAGTAAAGATGAGGCACTAGGAAAATGAAAAGTAACTAGCACCTCTTAACAAAACCTAAATGTATCTTTAAAAAGTTAAAACTGTCATGATGAAATTATTCCCTTTAATATTAACTAGACATTAAGAACACAATAAACTTAGTTTATTCAACTTCCCTATTTATGATCTCTGTAATAAAAATAATGTAAAATCAGAAAAAATATAACCCCATATTGATTTTTAAATTGTTATTCCCTTAGAAGGAAAGAAAATGTTTATATAATGTTGGCATGGACAAAATCTTTGTGGGCATAACACTAACAGATGTAACTATTCAAATATTGTCAACTTCTATATGTCAAAAGAGAAGAAAAAGAACCTGAAGAAAATTATCTGTAATATATTCAAGAAAAATATAATAATACTCTGAAATAAACAACTTTTCTAATCAAGGAGGAAAAAACGCAAAAAGCATGAACTCATGGACATTTTTAAAAGGAAGAAATGGCTATTATGCATTTAAAAATTCAACTCATCAACAACCAATCAACAAATAAATTAAAACATATACCATTCACCTTCTTTTAAAAACCAGTAACACCTTAGCATTTGGAAGGGTTTAGGGAAAGTGGCAAATTCACAAACAGGCTTATATAAACTGGTATAAGCTTTCTCATCAGATTTTTAAAACATTCTTAAACACCTTAAAAAAAATCTCATGGCTTTTGATCTAGCAATTGTATTTCCCTGTTCCTAAGAAATTATTAAAGGGTATGGACATAGATTTAGCTTTATAAGGATATGATAAAATATTAAACTACTGAAAAATTATTAAGAATCTAACATGACCGAGCTCGGTGGCTCAGCCTGTAATCCCGCGCCTTTGGGAGGCTGAGGTGAGTGG